TTCTTATATATTGTTGTTTTTCTACATTGTTGTTTTATGTACATAAGTAGTGCACCAATTACACCAAGGCAATTTCCTGTATGTGCAAACATACCTGGCAAATAAAAAGAATTCTGATTCTGATCTGATTCTGATAATACAGACAAACACATTAATTACCTCGTTGGCTGCGTGCCATGTAAAGGAGGAATTATCTTCAGATGCTTCTTGAGCTCTTAAACTCAGCTCTCTTCACAACCACTTAAATTGGTTCTTAATTTTACTGTATTAGCTTAGTTAAAGCACGTCTTCACCTTCGGAGGTTTACTTCTCACTCTCTGGAACTGCGCAGCGAACACAGAATGTCAAAATAAAAGTCATACTTTCAAAATAAAGGTTGACAGCCCTCTTAAACAACAAAAACACATTAAACGTGTACCAATTGACAATAATTACATAATCAATGATAAATTATGAACAGACAAACCCTCAGACTAAGACATAGTCATAATAACAGAGTCACCACAGATCATCTAACTACACACCAAAAATCGCCTCATCAATATTTGTTATTTCAGGCCATGATTATGAACACATCACACGCATTAGCCACAATGGAAAGAAATGTGCCAGCAGTGCGATGTCTCACATAACCAGTCAGGGGCGCTGTGACAGTGCACACCAATTACTGGTCTCTTATTGTGCCCTCTCATTTCACTCTTCCCTGACTGTGACGCATCGTTCTGCACAGGAAAGCGACAGAGTCCTGTCTGTGCGTTCCATAATGGTCTAGGTTACCACGGAGCTGTTGTGCATACGTCTGAGCAGACATGTCACACAAAGAGGACTGTAAAGCGAAGGAGAGTCCCGTGGAAAAAAGCCTCAGGACGCCAGGGCTTAGGGGGGCGCGGACTACTACACTGTTCCGAGCGATCAACCCTGAGCTCTTCATCAAACCTGTAAGACAAAGTGACTGTGTCCGAAATTATTCACTAATCACTATATACTTAACTATATAGTGAGTTCGCCTTTTTATAGTGGTCTCCAAATATTTAGTGTTTTTTTAATTCCATATACAGTGCTCTCATTGTTTCCCATAATGCATCATGAATAATAGTGCACAACCGATGCAGAGAGAAGAGCACCACAACACTAACTGCAGCAAACAAGTTTATTCCTACATTTAAAGAAGATAATTCAACATTTATTTACTTAAATGTGTTGATACTACATGTAAAATAAACTTTTAAAAATTATTGCGGGATTTTTTTCACCGGACGATATTATGCTGCGTTCCAGTCTACACAGTCTGGAACGCAGTTTATGTGCAGTCTATGGTACAAGACAAATCGGATGTCGCAATTTTCCCACCTCCTTCATATAAAAGTGCAATGGACGCCACTCAAAGTCGGAGTTCAGACGTGAACTCGGGGAAGATTTCTCTCCCCCGTCTCCACGGAGAAGCAGATGTCTGATGTCACACAACAATGGCAGCACTCATGGAGACGTAGATACTGTAGCGCTGAGGCCCGTCTACCCTCTGTTAGACTCTTGTTCCTGCACTTGAAAGATTGAGTTACAATGCGTGTTCGCGTGTTCTCTCCCTCTTATGTATTGGAATGTGTTTCCAAGTATATAAAAAAATGTATAATGGCTTTTATTGCCTCATGCGTCGTTTCCCCTCCTCTGCTTTATTACTGTATTAACAGGCTGCACTGGTCTTAGTTGAACTGTCTCATCAAAAGACAAATAAACATCAGCTTCTCATAGTCAGTTTGACGTCATGCCATCGCTGTGTATTGAAACGTTTGGAAGATGGAATATCCGACTTGTCTGGAATGTAGCATTACTAGTGTTGTAAGTCATATAATCACTATATACAGCTCTATATAGAATACCCTATATAGTAGGAGTTAATAAATGAGTATGTGATTTCAGACACAGCCACTCACAACCATAATCTACCCACAACTCACGTCCGACCTCTGACCTTAACCAGGACCCCAGAAATGATATCTGGCTACACAAGGCCTGGGCTTTGGGCCCTATGGTGTGCTGGTCTTGACAATGTCAATTTTACGGTAGAAATAAAGGCAACTAAAACAAGCATACAAACACAGAGTACAATATCCACCATTGGAAGTATGGGAACAGTGAATTATTTTGGATGAAACATGATTAGCATTATCACTAAACATCAGGCTGATAGGTGATTCCCCTCCAAAGCCGTTTTTGTAACATAACATTATGTTGTTTTGTAGAATAAACCAATGATGGTGTTTGGACTGGTGAGCATCACTCTATGTATGGGATACCTGGGCTATCTGCACGCAATGAAAGAGAATGACCAGCAGCTTTATGAAACCATCAACAGTGAAGGGGAAAGAAACACAAGGAGGAAGACATCCAAATGGGAGTGATGGCTAATGTTCTAAAATACTATTTTGAATGTGTGTGTCGATGTGCTGTAAGAACCCAGTGAATTAAAACCTGACTGGACTGAACCAACCACACGTCTCTAAATGCTTCCATTAAACACTGTTAAAGTATCACATCATTAAGTTCACGCTGTACAAGCTCAAAGCGTCAGATAGGCTTTTTTTACTGTTTACGTCATGATGAATCAAACATTGTTTCAAACTGTAGGCAAGATAAAACATGACTTCTGGCAACTTGTCAAGGACAGTTTTCAATAATGACATTTATGATACCAATTAACCAAAAGTCACAGCCTTAATTTGTCTCCATTCAAACTAGAGGAGTGGTCTGTGAGTATGCAGAGGGCACCTAGAAGCCACTAAATGTAAAATGTAATTAGTATTGCATTTAGCCAAACCAGATCCAACACATTAACATTACTTATAGTTCATTGTTTTTTAATGAGTAGATCATAAAATCATAGTGTGAGAAGAAACTCAAAGAAATTCAAAATATTTTATAATGAGTTAATGACAATAAATCATGGTCTCTCACTCCAATCACAAAAACACATGATCCCATATCAGTCATTATTCACTGAGTTGTCTTATACACATACTGTAAATTATTACAGTTTGTGGATTCAGAATTTTGTGCTTACTAACTTATTTGTCTTCTGCCATTATCCACATTGATGAACCGATCAGTTTGTAGATTAATAGGCTAATGAGCCATTTCATAGACTGCATGGTGAAAATGCCCTCAGCTCCTTTCCAATTGTTGAGATCTTCACATGGGAGCTGTCTATGTGAAGCTAAAATCAGCTGCTTCACTATACAAAGTTCATGTTTTATCAAACAACATGAATAACAACAAGCAGCAGATAAATGCATTGTAATGCACGGATGTTAACTGCAGAGAATGTCCACTGTTGATCCATCATTTGGCTCCCTCATCCTGTGGAGTGAAACAAAAGGCAGTGATCTGAGACTGTGGAGCTTCAAATGTCATAAGCAAAAGGGCCTAATATCGACTGCTTGGTAAGTACATGAAAAAAAATTATTGCTACATCAATTAAATTTATGATTGAAGATTAATTTGTTTTATTCAATCATACTTTTTAGTTGGTCTGAGGTGGTACCTTAATAACCATAGCCAGCTCCTGCAGTGTTTGTTCATATCGGGCTTTCATACCCTGGAGATTCTCAGGTTTAACAATCTGCTTTTGAATCCCAGGGCTTCCTGCTTCCACCACCATCTGAAGGAAGTTCTTCTCCTGAGAAGGCCAACATAAATCTCACTTTGCACTGCCTTCGTAGCGTGTTAATAATGTTTATTTGTGCACAAGTGTTTCACCTGAACTCGGAGTAGAAGGGTGAAGGCCAGGCCTGTTTTTCCTGCTCTTGCTGTTCTTCCAATCCTTCATAAAAAGAAGTTAGGACAGAATCATTACACACTGGACATTAAGAATGATGTCTACTTCTACACACGTCATTGCCTTAAAAAATAATTCAGTTAAATACATACAACATAGACAACTCACCTGTGAATGTATGTCCTGATGTATTGTGGTGCATCGTAATTCACAACACATTTGACTCTGTTAATGTCAATTCCTCTGGCAGCTGCATCGGTGCAGACCAACCTGAGACGACACAAGTCATTTATTCTTAATGCTAAAGAATTCATCAACTGTTGACAAAAAGCTGGATTCAAAGTATCAATATTCCATTAAGTGTTCTTTATACCTTACAGCATTGAAATAAAGTTCCTCAACTACTGTGTTTACCTAGAATGCCCATGAGCCATAATGACTCTATAGCTACTTGCAGTGTGATTGTTTTTCTGCTTGTTGACAGATACAGAAAAATAAACAGATACAATTGTGATAGGGTCAATTTGATTTGAGGAACTTGCTCCAGAGAAGGCAGCACTTTGTACCAGACCCTGTCTGATACTGGATGTTTAAGGATATGATTACATTTTAGTTCAAATTTGTACCAACTATTTAGCTTTTTTGTACATGCAGGTGAGAGACAAAAGACAAGAACAAAAGTTATGTAGCTTTTGTTCTTGTCTTTTGTCTCTCACCTGCGTGATCTTTGCCACTTTCGCATTCTACTTTCCTACACAGCTATCAAAACACATAAAATATCACTCACACTTGCATGCACTAACATGTACACTCACAGTTGGATTTTTCCTTGTTCAAATTCTTTCAGCTTCTTCTTTCTCTCTCCAGGAGAGAGGCGGGAGGAGAACTCAGCAGCATTAATTCCACCAAAGAGCTGTACTAGAAGGAAAAGTCTGAGGAGGAAAGTAGGACAAATAAAAACTATGACCAGGCTTGAAAATTCAAAGTAAAATTTATAAAACAGCTCTCTCCCACCTGTGTGCAGTCTCTCTAGAGTTGGTGAAGCAGAGGATGGGGCTGAGCTTCATTCGTAGGAGGAAGTGAAGGATGAGAAGGGGCTTGCTGCTTAAAGTACAGGGAACATAATGCTCCTAAAAACACAAAGGTGCAGGTGTTAGGGTTGGGCGGTAATAAGGTATACCGGCGGTGTCTTTCAAAAGCAACAGTATCAGTTTCAATACCGTCATTAAAAAAAATGCACTTATATAGGAGATAAGGATTAAATATAAGATATGATTAATTCAATGCCTAAAAATGATTTTATGTCCAGCAGCACTTATATGTGGTTGAATTTTCTGTTTTACTTCCACAGTAGTTTACTTTTGGAGACTTTTGATAAAGTTTATGAATGTGACGTCATCACTTGACAGCGTGGAGGAGAGAGAGAGAGAGAAAGGGGGAGAAAGATAGCAAGTCGCGCACCGAGTGACCTGGTCCTCAAGAAGAACATGACGTCTGCAGTCTGGCAGTATTTCGGGTTCCGTGCAAACAAGAAGGGAGAGCCGGTAAACACTGATGAGGCCATTTGCAAATTGTGCAATAAAAAGGTGAACGCGAGTGATGGAAACACGTCCAACCTAAGGACGCATCGCCGCATCAACCACCCACTCACTGCTGCGAGGATGCATTTGGCCCTGAGTTCATTCAGTGCAACAGTTTCAGCGCTTCCCACTGATACAGATGCAGGACCATCAACAGCTAAGTCCACCACCACTTATACACAGCGGACAATAATGGGGGCCTTCGGGAAAACAACGAAGTACAAAAGGGACAGTGTCCATTGGAAAATCCGCACTGATGCAGTGACAAAATACTTAGAGAAGGAACTGGTCTCTTTCCACAAGGTGGAAAAAAGTCCATTAAGGACATGGTAAAGGTCCTAGATGCCCAGTACGAGCTGCCACTCCATTACACCTGAGTGGAAACTTGAATCCAAATGCCTCCAAACAACGTATTTTCCTGAGAGTCATACGGGTTTACAACCTTGCTGCAGCACTCAGCTGGCAACTTGACGAGGAAAAACTTTCAGTCATAACCACTGACAACGCCGTCAACATTTCTGCCGCAATCACATCCCTTCATTGGCCATGGCTTAATTGCTTCGGTCACAATCTAAACCTGGCTGTCACAAATGCATTGCATGACCAGAGGCAAAAAACCGAGCGCGCCCTCGGACTGTGCCGTTGTACTGTTGGGGCCTTTTCACACAGCTGGCAACATAAGAGGGAATTCCACAAGAAGCAAGTGGAGTTGGGACTCCCAGAACATAGTCTCATAACGGTAAGCATAAATTTGTATCTGAATATCTGAATCTGTTAGGACGTAGGCGAACTAAGAATAGAATCATATACATTAATGGACTTATTTATTTATTCGTTTACTCATTCATACATTCATTTGTTTATTCATTAATTAATCCATCGGCAGGACTGTGCAACTCGCTGGGGCTCCAAACTGGCAATGGTGGAGCGCATCCTGGAGCAGGCCCAGGCAATCAGACACGTCTTGTCTGACGACAGAAGGAGCAGCCTGTCCCTGACCTGGCAGGACACAGACGTCTTGAAAGCTGTTCACGTCGCAATGAAACCTGTGGGTGACTTCACTGATATTTTGTCAGGAGAACATTATGTAACCACTTCTTCTGTTCTCCCCATACTCCAGCTATGCAGGGACAATGTGTTCGCTGTTTCAGAAAACGACCTCCAGCTAACAAAGTCAATCAAAACTGGAATTCTAAAAAAGATACTGTATGAGACTGATGGCAACGCATTGGCTGAGACCAAGGCAGAATTACAGGCTGAAATCGTGAATTTAGAGGAGCAAGCACCAGCAGGTCCAGTCCTGATGGCCAGCGTGGAAGAGGGAGAGGCGCAACCCGAACCCCCACGAAAAAAGGCGACTCTGGGAAGTCTCCTGCAAAAACAAGCCGATGCAATGGCACGTCCCGTCGGCACCGTAGAGGACCAAGTCGGAGCTGAAATAACAGCCTACTGTTTGGAGCCCATTATCCAAGCAGACGAGGACCCACTTCTGTGGTGGAAATGTGCTGCCAGGCGTTTTCTCCTGATGTCATGAGTGGCCAGAAAGTACCTGTGTGTCTGTGCCACAAGCTCGCCGTCTGAACGGATTTTCAGCACCGCAGGAAAAGTAGTAATTCCACAACGTTCCCTGTTAAAGCCTGAAAAAGTTAACATGCTGGTTTTTCTGGCTAAAAATCTTGAGTAAACCTGTTGCCACTTGCCACCCAGCTCACATTGGCACTGTGTGTTTGTATTATTTGTTTCTTTTATGTTTTCCACTTTTTTTATAAGCTGCTCTTTTTTTATTATTCAAAGTTGTTCAGGCTGTGAGTGATTTAATTTAATTGATGTGTGTGCGGCGCATTCTGCGCAAAAACTGTTCTGGATGGTCAGATTAATTTAATTGTTTGACTGTTGTATTTTCGATTTTTTTTAAGCTGCTCTTTTTTGTTATTCAAAGTTGCTCAGGCTGTGATTTAATTTAATTGATGTGTGTGCTGCGCATTCTGCGCAAAAACTGGTCTGGATGGTTATGTTAATTTAATTGTTTGACTGTTGTATTTGCACTTTTTAAGCTGTTGCTAATAAAAGTTGTTAATATTGTGCACATTATGTTGTGTTTATTATATATGTACATTATTAGTGTTTGGTATTCAGTTTCTGAACAGTGTAGGCACAAAGCCAACAGTTTGGTGATGCTGTCTCAGCCTTAAGTCATAATTTTTAATTAGTCACGGCAAAAAGTGGGTATGCACTATATGCGACGCAGGAGGAGGCATGAACAGCGCTGTGTTCATGTGCATGTGTAAATGATATGATCAATAACAGTCACGTCACTGATTAGGCACAGCAACCCCCGGCTCCACGCGAGAGTTTTTACCGGCGGCAGCGGGTAATACCGTATACCGCGGTAAAATGTGGAGACGGTATGAATGTATCAAAATTTGTATACCGCCCAACCCTAGCAGGTGTTCAAAAAGTCACATATTTGCTCCATATTTCTCTCCACTTCCATGTTTGCCTGTGCTCAATCCTGAAAGCCAATGGTCATCTCTTACCGTCAGGCCTTGGGGGAAGTCAAACCGGTCTTGTTTGTGGTTAGGGACTGCTGGTGTGGTGATGTTGCTGTGGATGGAGCTAAAGAGTCTGGGCTGGTGGAGGCCAAGCTGCTGAAGCTTTTCTGGGTTTTGTGTGAGTGTGGCAGAAAACAGCAGCTTCTGTAGTGGCATCTGAGGTGGAGACAGACTGAGAGGAGACATAGGCCAGTGCAAGGTTACTAATGTCTACAACGGCTATTAAACAAGTGTGCTGCAGGCTTGATATTGCCCATTAGATTTATTTTAATTACCTGCAAAACTGCCTGTAAATCAGGCTGGCGTGTATGATAGGTAGCAGAGTTGGAGTGGACATGGACATGGTGAACCAGGTAGAGTTCCAACAATGCTCCTCAATTTTTTTTTGCAGTAAAAAGTTAAAGGCCAATTCAGATTTTTATCAAACCACTTGTTAAACAAATGCAGTCTGCAGGTGACATGTTTTACAAAAACTGTTGGTGAAGGTAAATAGCAAATAAATAGATCATAAATAAACAAATTAATAATTAATGTGAAAGCAAGGATTTTAATCTGATGTGGAGACAAATACTATGTATTACAAGAATAGTTAAAATGCACAGCATAAGTCAGTTCAGAATTTAAATTTCACTCTGTAAAACTACCCGAATTTCTTATTAAATCACAAGATGAGAAACTGCTCATACCCGAATTTTCATTTTTATTTACCTTTTTCAAGTTTCTCTCAAAACAGTTTGGGCCTGCAGGTACAGTAAGTACCTAAAATAACAACACCATCCTTTTCCAGATATGCAGCGATGTGGATGAAAGAGGGGGACAAGCCACAGATGTCCCCTCCACAGGAAAGCAGAAAAAGAGGACACAAGTCCACCATCAGAAAGTTATATTATTCTGAGAAAAGCTACTGTAGTCTATTAATATTGAAGTTTATTAGTCAACTTCAATGTATTACTCACTGGCCAAAATGTGCAATCACATTACTGAGTATAAAATTCAGTTCTGGAATTTTAACTGTTTGTTGTAAATGATCAAGTGATAATATTGGTTAGTTAATCTGTGAGTCTAGGCGAACATTTGTCAAAATGAACAGGATTCTCTAAAAGTGTTCTTAAAATAACATACTCTACCAGGCAAACAAGGGTTTTGTCCAACTGAAGATTTGAAGAAATTAGCTCAAGGCTTTCATGTTCACAAGAGTGAGAGGGCCGGACAGACGTATGTTGTGTACATTGGTACAGCAGATAACTGTACATTGGTTCGGACAGATAACCCAAAAACATAATGACTCTAGCCACTGGCCTCACCATAAGGCTGAATGATAATTTGTACTGGTGGAAAATCAGTTTCACCACCAGTGAAGACATTGGTCCTGCTATTAATTGTAAGGAGACAATCTGACTCACCTGGCTGCTGTGATGTATGCTGGTTCAGTTCTCCTGAAGATGGACCTTGCTCTTGGTTCACTTCCTGATTTGAAAACTGCCCTCATCACATGACTGAGCCAAGACTGCTGCATGCTTTCAATCATCCTATCAGCCTCATCAATTATCTAGGATGGATGAAAGAATCAACTTTAAAGAGGACACAAATGATAAATAGTAAATTCACTCATTATTCATTATATCTGTTATTGTTTGTGAACATTAGAGCTCCAACTAACAATTATTTGATAATCGACTAATCTCAATCTCTCCTCATTTCCAGCTGTTCTTGACGCTTCCTGTCACCAAAATACCAAACAGCAGTCATGCTCTCTGCACATTGGTCATTTAACTTGCTTTGCATGGTGCATCATGGCGCACGAAAGTAGGGCACTACGTTATTATTGACTAGTAATTGCAAACCTTTCCACCACAGTATGGCCTCAATCAGTCACTGCACACGGCGTATGTCAAATGACTGCCCATTAGGCTACATCATTTAAGTAGGTAAAATGTTTCATGTCTCATCCAAGAGTTTGGTTCGCCAGATCTTGAAGAGATTCATATCTCAGGGCTACTCTATCTCCTTTCTACGACTTATTATATTTATCTAATAGATATCACTAGAGAGGCTTATTAGTTGACAACAATTTATTGATTATAATCGATATAATCAAATAGTTGTTGCAGGCCAAGTAAAGATGTTGGTTCAAGTTATAGAAGTATTAAGAACTCACAAGAAACCTGAGGTGTTTCAGACATAAGCCTGACTTCTTGTTGATGTGATCAACCAGTCGACCTGGAGTGGTCACAACAATGTCTGCTAAACTGCATCTCATTCCTCCCCTGGGGAAAAAAACAAATTTAGGATTAAAAGAAATGTTGAAAAGGGACTGTTCACCCCAAAAGGAGTCATTATCTATTCACCACTATGCCATTGAAGGGGTGGGTGAAGTGTTGTAGTCCACAAAACACTTTTGAAAGTTTCAGGGGTAAACAGCATTGCAGCCAAATCCCATATAATTGAAAACAAGTAAAAAACATAAAATGCCTTCATACTGCTCCTTTGGTGAGTTCTTGCTAATGTCATCCCGAGCTTGTGTGCGTGCCAATGTAAACATGGCTCAGAGCTAGGTGGACAACTGCGGGCATTTAGGCTAAAAACATGGTAAATTATGTTGTTTCAAGTCAATTTTGAATGGCGGGGCTTACGGACACTTGGACGACACCACATAAGTAGTATGGAGAAATGGTATGTTTTTTTTCACATTTGAAAAAGTGGTCACCATTTACATTTGACTGCTACGCCGTTTACCCTTGAAAATCCAAAATTGTTTTGTGGACTCAAACACTTCACCCACCCCTCGAACTGTATAGTGGTGAGTAGATTATGAGTGAATTTTGACTTTCGGGTGAACTATTCCTTTAAGTGAGTCCTGCTGCAGCATGAGATATGTTGGAAACAAGTTATTGTGACTACTATGGATATAAACAACTCTATTTAGGCAGAGATCCTGCTCCTACTACCAAGTCTCTGTCTTCATTCATGATTTTTCTCTACAACATAGCTGCCAAGATTAAGAGCTTTCCCTTATAAAGGTGTATAAATTAGAGATTCCATCAATGAAATTATTTAATTTGTGTAATTTTAATTTATCAACCTTTTGTAAAATATGCCATATTCGAAAGTGGTAAAGAGAAAAGGCTGCTGGTCAAGGTGGAAATGATTTGTACCTATAGAATATATTGTTGCATTGCACAAAATTTTATGAGATAATCATGTTTTGTAAAATCCTAAGAAAAACCTTCCACTGAAACATGGTAGAAGTACCTCCAAACTATACTTGAGTACAACAATCGAGTGAGTGTACTTGGATACATACTTTTGATATAAGAATACAGTACATAGTAACATTCATAATTGCTATATAAAATGTCACAATGTGGTGGTGCTAAAAGCACAAAGTGTTAAGTTATTTTTGTACTCACCTTTGTTCAGAGAGTGAAGCCTGCTCTGCAGCAAATGACCTCTGACCAGCCAGCATCACCACTTTCAGAGTTGTTCCCTCAGCATATGATGTGAACACTTTGCAGACCTGCCCAAGAGAACATGTCCCCTTAGTTAATTCGTTATCTACAGCAAACACACAAGTGTTTGAGTTTGAAGACATTCTGACCTGCTGAGCGAGCTCTTTGGTTGGCAACACAGCTAAAGCCCGGACTTCACACACCACCCGCTCTATCAACATCTGATGGTGGAAATATGTTACCACATATTACACATGCTTCAATCATGCCATATGTGTACACACACTTATTATATGCATTTCCTACTCAAAGGTAGAGAAGGCAGGCAGCTTACCTGTATGACAGGTATGACAAATGCAAGTGTCTTGCCACTGCCTGTAGGCGCAGACACACAGATATCTCTCGGCTTGTAACCACCGCATCCAATCAGCAGCCGTAGCTGCATGCTCTCCAAGATGGCTGGAATGACCTCTGCTTGCACTGTGAAAACCTCACATTAAGTATTCACAACCTTTATTCTGTAAGTCTCTCGTCAATACACATGGTTTCAAAACATGAGGGTCTTAGAGCAAAACAGAATATTTATCTATTATAGGGACTTATTTTAACATCCAAATATAATGGCATTTATGAAATAATATCCATGATATCAAGATTCAGGAATAATACAAATCTATTCTCAAAAACTTGAGAGACTATTGAATACACAGATTTATTCAGTCAATGTCATTACCAGGAAAGAAGTGCTGAATTCCATTATTCTGTAGTTTTTTCACGAGTGGCGCACACAGTTGGGAGATGTCAGAGATGGGGACCTGGTTGTTTTTAATGTCTTTGTGAATCACATCAGGTTGAGCAAGCCACTGTGGCAGGACTCTATGTATCTGTAAACACAGGAATAAACACTATGTATGGTGTACAAGAGTATATGGTTCCGAGATAAGCACTGCTAATCATACTGTTGACTCCTCCTTCGGCACCATCAAAGTAACCTTACCTTTTGGACAGGTTTGTTTTCAAATCCTCCCACAACTGTGAATCCAGTTGGAGCGGAAGACATGTCTGTGGTTTGCTTTGATAGGTCATGTTCTGCCTCTGCTACTTCAGTGTCCTCTTGTCCATCTTTTCCAATCACAGGAGGCTCTGACATATGGTGAAGTGGTGAACTGCCTAAATTCCAAACAAAGAGAAAGGTTTTCGTTATGCACATAGCATGTACACTTCCACTCAAACATTTTAAAACACACATTATCTTATATAGTGTGTGTTTAGTGTGCAGGTGCCGAATATTGACTGATCCTGTACTTCACCAAAGTACAATTACTTCAATTACTAGGGGGTCCTAGACAAATTAAAAATAGTCTAGGGGACAAACTAAAAATATTTGGAGTTTCTTATGATTTTTCTTTTCGACAGGCTCATCATGGTTGACAGAGTTCAACTCACACAAAGGAGCTACTTCTGATTTCCTCTTTTTGTGGGGTTGAGGCTCCTGACTGCTGTTCTTGTCAGCTCTTCTTTTTTTTTTGTCAACCTGCTTTAGCATCTGCTCCTCAACCAGGTCCGGTCTCTGTTCTGTCAAACTCTGTTTCTGCTTTTCTTTAGCCTTCTGCAGCAGTTTAGCAAGCAACGCCTGAGACTGGGATTCTTTTGAGGTGCTCCCATCTTCCTCCACTCCAAGATACCTGTGATCAACAAGACAAAATTTGTCAACGCCCATATAACTGTAAAACCGAAAAAGCTCTAGTCTCCAACATCACTTTCTCTATTTGTTCTGGAGGGTTTCGCCTTTGAAGTGTCAGCCACTGCTCTGTTAGTCCTCGAAACTTCAACCATCACGTAAATGTAATCAGAAACTTGTTAGGATGCCGTCAAAACGAAAGTTTTCTATATTCTATGAGCTTTACCTGTGTTCATACAATGTGGTGGAAAAGCAGGAATGAGACCAGAACGTCTAGTCGACGAATAGGACAATACATTAAATCATATTAATACTGCTATACAATACCACAAAATAATTTTGTTAGCCTTTCGAAATTCTTACATAAATCTTTGTTGTGAAAAAATGTTTTAACCGCCAGTATCACGCAGTAAATGATCTGAAAAACAAGCGATGTGAGCACAGAAAACAAGCCTACCTGTTCACAAGAAACAGAGACATGTCTGAAGCGAGATAAAACGCTCCCAGTGCTTGTTTCAATTACTTTGAAATAACCCGTTCAGATTCGAAATCTTTTAAGTTACCGGTAAGTAACAATCAGTCTTTAGAGACACACACACCACACACGAGGTGGTCGATTTTCTGAGTGTGCAGCTTGACTTTCTTGTTTGAGGTTTATTGGCTGTTGGCAAACAACGAATTGGTGCATTACCTCCACCAACTGGTAGGGAGGACCTCATGCTGTTGATGCTGTTGTTTTTTTACTTGCGTTTGACTGTAGGTGGTTCATGGTAACATCAGATTAATTATGATTAATTTGCTAATTAAAAAAAAAAATTCAAAGCCAAAATTGACAAAATTGAAAAACGAATTAGTACAAAAGTGCTGTACAATAAAATATGTGATTGTTAACTCTGTTTGACAAGACATTCAACACTGGGATGATGAAATCGACTCCTATTCTATTGTTGAATGTTTTTGATGCATTAGTATCATGCAGCATTAAAAGTAAAACTAAAAACCTTCCTCTTTGACAAAGCCTATAGTTAGGGCTGGAAAGGGTGAGTCCTGAACCATCCCTTAGTTATGCTGCTATAGGTTTAGACTGCTGGGGGAACTCCCATTATGCACTGAGCACTTCATCACTTCCCT